TACTGTCTCTGCTAAACTAAATATTAAAGAATGTGCTTGCCTAAACTTTCTTTCAGGATGTCTTTACACTCCAGCAGATACTTGCTTATACTGCTGGAATTCCAAGATTATATGGAAAAATTTAAAGTGTGCATTTGAGCATAGTAGCTTCCCATTTATACTACCTAATTCTGAGCACATCTTAGAAGAAAATCAAACCTTATGCCTAGGATGTTCTTCAGCTGTCTACACGCTTTCCCCCCACCCCCTTTTTTAAGTAGTACATGCTTGCCATACATACTGATTACATTCTGTTCAGAAGCTTGTGACATACATATATTACATCTTGATCATCTCCACACATTCCAACTTCACACATATTTTACCCCACTTGTGCTTCAAAAAAATTTAAAGAATTTGTGGAGAAGGAATTTGCTAATATCGAATCTCTAACAGCTGCAGTACTAAATCCATAGCTTCTACTGTTACACTATACGGCTATCTCAGAAAATATGCTTGATAAAAGTTTGGTTTCCCCAGAAAGGATAGGTCAAAGGTAAACCTACCCTATAGGGCTGGCTGCTTTAAGAGGAAATTCTACAGCACTGACAGGTTGGGTGGCTGATAATTCTTTCTGGACTAATACCACAACTACAGTACAAATAATTATCTCCAGGAGCCACCTGCCCATTCAGTCTCCCCAGACTACAGCACACAAAAACAGAAGCCCATCAGCAAGTCATTTAAGAACAAGCAGCTGATTTGAAACATTGCACTTGCTTCCTAGGCAAGTGTTGTTTGTTTTTCTTAATTAAAACACACACAAGCCTGATACGGTAATTAAAAGTCTGTCAGGTAATATAAGGATAGGCCATCCTTTAAAAAAAAAAAATCCGTTGGAAACTGGATAAAGAAGATGTGGTTTTTCTATAAAATGGAATATTACTCAGCCATAAAGAACAAGAAAATAGATTCATTCATAGGAAAATGGATACATACTGAAGATATACTCCTAAGTGAAATAAATAAGTCACATGTGTAAATACCGAATAGTGTCCCTGGTGTGAATAATCTGCAACAATGCATAAGATTCTAATAAGATTACTGACATTTAGAAATGGGAAGGAAGGAGCTAAAGGTGTAGGGAAGGTGGGATGGGTAGGGGAAGAGTAAAAAGGGAAAAGAAAAAAATGTGAGAGAATGAAAAGATGAAATTAAAGTGTTTGTAGATGGGGAGGGGAGGAGGGGGTGAAGGGAGGGCAGATGTTAGTGGAAAAAATGAGAATCAAGACTTGTCATGTAGAGGTACAAGATCCCAACAATGAATGTAACTGTACTGTATCCCTAAAATGTACCAATAAACTCAATTAAAGCTGAAAAAAAAAAGTTTGAGGAATTCAAACAAATGCAAATAGAAGAATTTGAATATTTTCTCAATTTTTTTCTGGAAATTCTGATTTTTAAATTTTGTTATGCTTCACCACATGAACTGTCTTATCCTAAGAATGCAAACTCTCAATGTTTTAATTCTATTTCCTTTTTCCAGTACCAGGGATTGAACTTAAGACCCTGTGCTTGCTAGGTCTGTGCAGCATTAATGAGCTAAATCCTCAGCCCTTAATGTTTTAATTCTAAATGCAGCCCTTCTCCCTAGGACATCAAAAAATTTGGAACCCTAACAGTAATTACTGCATAATCATTCAAAAAGACATGTGGCACAACATGTGTAAAGCTGAGCTGCACCTGTCATTAATTTAACAAAGGACTATTTCATAATCAAATGACACAGCTTTGAACATCTGACAATTTGGTTAAACTGATCCATAATAAGAATTCCACTGTAAATGGAATACAAGTAACCAAAACCTGAATGAACATAAATTGGAGACTTTCAAATTTAAGACACAATGGATACACCCTGGGCAAGTTACTCAATCTCTCCATACTTGTTTCTGCAACTACAAATGGACAAAATAACTAATAACACTTAAGAACTATCAATTAAATGAATTAATTCACATTAAATTATTAGTGTGGAGCCTTGAAAAAAGGCAACTGACAAATAAATGTCCTTTATTATGTCGTGAACATTTTTAAATGAAAAAAATGAATAGCAATTAAAAAGAATAATCCTTTTTATTTTTTGGTACCGGGGATCAAACTTGGGTCCTTGCGCTTGTGAAGCAGGCAGCAGAACCACTGAGCTAAATCCCCAGGCCCTAAAAAGAATAATCCTAATAAAAAGATACCGTTGGGGTCAGGGATTTAGCTCAGTGGTGCCACCATCTGCGTCACAAGCATAAGGATCCAAGTTTGATCCCTGATACCAAAAAAAAAAAAAAAAAAAAAAAAAAAAACACA